AAAATAATTTAATGTGTATTAGTATGAAGGTGTCAGATCCCCTGGAACTGAAGTTACAGACAACTGTGAGCTGCCATGTGGGTGCTGGGAATTGAACCCGTGGCCTTTGGAAGCGCAGACAGTGCTCCCAACCGCTGAGCCATCTCCCGAGTCCCCCCATTTTATTTGAATACATTGGCTATATATATATATTTATTTATTTATTTATTTATGATTATTCAGTGTGTCTGTATCTGCCTGTCTCCACATGCAACAAGTGTCTGAGACCTTGGAACTGAGGCACAGGCAGCCAGTGAACTGCTAACGTGGATTCTGGGAACCCAATCAGCAACACTCTCAACAGCTGAGCCATTTTGGTTTTGTTTTTGGTTTTTGAGGCATGGTTTTTCTGTGTAGCCTTGGCTGTCCTGAACTCACTTTGTAGACCAGGCTGGCCTCAAACTCACAAAGACACCTGCCTATGCCTCTCTGAGGGCTGGGATTACAGGTGTGCATCACCACGCCCAGCTCTGAGCCATTTTTGAATGGCTGAATAATTTCAGAGGTCTTGGTATCATTGCTTTTTGAGATGTACCTGATAATCAGCTAGCCAATACTCAATTGCACAGAACACACCAAAGATAATGTTCGAACCTTAACATCTCTGGAGAAGACTTACACCAGTGTGCCAACCTGACAGAGTAAATATATCCACGTTCTCTTTGCAAACCTAATCTCCATGCTGCCTCATAGCCTGTGTAGTCACTGGCTGCTACAAGATGCCTTACACCCAGGAGACACTCTGTCTCTGGGAAGGGAAGACTGACGGCCACATGGTGGCAGATTTATAGAGAACACTGGCACCTTCCATGCAGAAGCCTGGCAACTGGGAGTAACCCAGTCCCCGAGACATGGGGAAAAGGACCTAAGTTGGCAAGGTCCTTATAAAAGGCACAGAGAAAGGACAGACTGAAGGTGGCTAGCATCTACACCCTTAAAGCTTGTCTCTGTGTAACATGCAGGACATGCACACTGTCAGTCAACACCATACAAATATGCTGAGTTTCTTGGCTTTTCAGTTTGTGCCAGAGAAGGGAAACCCACACCTTGGTTCTGGTAATCTCAGTTTCTAAGTATGCTAAAGTATTCATTTGGGTCACTCAACTGATCTGGGCTTCAAATTTCTTCAGAATAATAGAATAATCAATAGAATTTGAAGTGTTAAACTAAAATAAATATATGCATCTTAATGCTAAATATATTCAGCTGCAAGGACCTGTTATTTTTAGCTTACTGCGTAAACACCAAAGCTGTATTTAAGAAGATATGCTTTTCAAAACCTGAGTTCTTGACAAATCAATGTTCTTCTAGAAATGTAAACCCACTTTATCATGATTTAAGGTGACCAAGCCTATACCACAGTTCTAGGCAAGAATACTAATACAGCCTTTGTTGGTGCTACTTTTTCCAGGAGAAACTAAAAGCACAGGACACCAGAGCTCTCCCCTCACACAACGGAGAGCAATGCTACCCAGGCACACAGCATTTAAAGAGAAAATGAAACGCCCACCAAGGCAGAGCCTCCTACAGGCTCTCTGCTCCTCTGTGAAGCCAGAGGCTCCCCGCTGTGGCCTGCTAAGGACCCTTGGCTAAAGTGAAGTCTTCCCAAAACGCCCACCAGCAGGCTGAATGGAGAAATGGTTATCTAATAGTTGTAGAACAACCCTTAAAGAATCAAACAAGTGTTTGAAAACACACCTTTGCTGATGCTTAAGGAGAACCATTTGAAAATCAGCTTTTGCCTTTTCCATTTCTGAATTTGTACTTTTTAACAATCATTTTTACAAAAATATTTTCCAAAAAAATGTGTACACTCTTGAGTAGACAAATCCTCACCCACCTAATCTGTTATTTAAAAGGGATAACAGCATTTAAGAAGAGCCTTGTTTGCTGATTTCCAAAGGAAATCATAAATGTCCCAAGCTTCATGAATACAGAAAGGCCTGAACAGCAGCACACACCTGCGGTCCAAGTTACTGTGAAGGACAAGGCAAAACAAGCACTTGAAGTCAAGAATTTCAGACTAGTTTGTGCATAAAGTTAAATTCCAGTTATGGCTACATCACTGAGAACAAGATCCAGGGCTGGGGATGTTGGGCTCACTGGGATAATGCACAAAATCCCAGCAAACCTTTGGTATCAGTACACTTTTCCAAACATATGACAAATTCTAATTTTGGGGGGCATCAACATCCCACTCACAAAGTTTCAGACTTTGGTGAAGCAGAAGTTTCTGGTTTCTTTGAAGACTCAGTTTTGTCGTGTAATGTTTTGCTAGAGGCTGGTTTGTGCGAGGGTGTGTGATGTTTTGTTGTGAGCTCTCTCGTGCAAGGGACCCGACTTTGGCCAGCTGAGACCATCGGTGGGTGGACCCTGAGGAGATAGAGGCCCATGGATAGCCCTTTTTGGATGGACGTCACTGTGCTGATCTTTGTGCTTGACACTTGATTTCCCAGACTGAAATGTTCCAGAGAACTTCTTGGGGCAATCCAGCTAAGTTTTGCGGTTTTTGCTGACTTGTGCCGATTCATGTTGCTGGTTGGTGTTGGCCTTTGGACTGGACTGCTGGTATCCTGACAACTGAGTTTGGTAATCCCTTAAAGACCCATCGACCCTAATCAGCAGGAAGTAGAGGTCAACAGCCCTTTTCCCTACTAATCTCCTAGCTAAGGCCAGGGGAGGGAAGGGATGGGAGGGAGGTAAATGTGTTTAAGAACACAAAATACAATAGTTTTAGTGAAAAATCTAAGCCTATACTTTGGGGCTAGCCAGATGGCTCATCAAGATGAAAGTGCCTGCCCCTCAAACATGACAACCTGAGCTTGATTCGGGGAACCCATCTATAGGTGTAAGGGGCTAACTGACTCCACAAAGTTATTTGACTGCTACATGTGTATGTGTGAGCACGCAGACACAGTTCCATATGTATCTATCATTTTTAGTATTTAAAGATTGGCAGACTGGCCCCATTAAGCCTGTAACAAAGTGAGTTCTCTCTGCAACCTGTCTCTATTGCTGTCCTGGTAAAAACTGCCTTCTCTCTCTCCCCGCCCCGAGATAGGGTTTCTCTGTGTAGCCTTAGCTGTCCTGGACTCACTTTATAGACCAGGCTGGCCTAGAACTCAGATCCATCTGCCTATGCCTCCCTGAGTGCTGGGTTTATAGACACGTGCCGCCATGACCAGTTTATAATCCAGTGTCTCTTACTCTTATTCCCCCTGTTTATCAAGATGCAATTAGATACAATCTTTTTGAATCCACACAACAAAGTAGACATTTAGGCACTCTCATTCCATGCCCAGCTTCATGACAGTGAGCCAGGCTTCTTACCCAGTATCAATGGGCTAGCTTGTTCCTCAATTTCATGAGGTACCATAGGTTCATAGTTAATTTTTTTTTTTTTGTCCATAGTTCTTCTCTCAAGCCTTTGTATCATCATAGCTAATTTCTCTTCTCATACAGCTATTTTTTTTTTTTTTTTTTTTTTTTACCTTTTTGGGAGGAAAAATAAAGATGACAATTGACAGTAGAGGGGTTTACTCTGGTCATAATTGCAATGTGTACTGCAATGGCTTTTTCAAGCAACATTTGTATCCCCTCAACTTCTACCTCTGTTCTCAAGGAATATGAAATGGAGTGTCCTATTTTTAATGGAAGAAAAAAAAAATCTGTCTACATAATTAACATTGTCTTTTGGGGTAGCTTACTGTGAATTACTGATTTTCCTTGCTCTGGGCTCAAGGCTCCCGAGTCTTCTGAATCTCTACAGAAAACCACACACCAGAGAACACAATACAACTGTAGTATCTTCTGAGACGTGGAATCTGAGACAACATAAGGGGCAGTACTGGGTGACACTGGTGAAATCTGAGCAAAATCTGCAGTTTAACTGATGGACACATAGTCATGTTAGGTGATCAACAAACCATAGGAACCACTGGGGGCTGAACCGTGTCTCTCCCCAGTCACATGTTCAATCTGTAACTAAGCAGAGCTAGGGTCTTTAGAGAGGTTGTAAGTTAGTGTGAGGCCATAAGTCCCAGGACTGGTATTCCTATTGGGAAAGGAAATTCAGACACACAGAGGTTTCTTTGTTTTTAATGTTTTACTTCAGAAGACACTGCATTAAGTGTAGAATGCCTGTGTGGAGCTTCCACGTGGAGACTCCTTGGCCCAGCGGGTAGTCTTCCTCCTGGCGATCTAGAAGCAGAAGGCAGCTCTACTTCCCTGCAAAGGAACTGGGCATTGCAGCCATGAAGGGTGTGCTAAACTCTATCTGCAGAGGGTTGTGTTGACGCTACTGTCCATCTTTGTCAGACTGGAGTCATTGGGGCAGCTTTTTGGAGAGTCCATTGCCTGGGAGCTCCCAGACCACAAAAGGTCATCCAACCAGCACAGCCTGCCAAGGGCCTTCCAGACCATCCTCCTAGAGGAACGCCAGCTTCAGCTGTTAGGAGATGTTTTTGGTTTTTATCAGCACTCTGTCCAAAGGACTCTTTTGTACGTTTAAGTATCTTCTGGTTTGTTTGCTACCGACTCTCTTCCATGAGAGCTGTTTGGACAACAGTTAAGAGGTTGTGGGTAGGCTATGAAGGACACGTTGGAATATCCAGTATCCAGGTCTCAGTTGTACATAAGTTCTTCCTTCAACATAGTGCATATGTGTTTGTACATAAAGTCTAAAGAGGGCTATGGGATGATCAGGCTTGCTCAAGGAATGGCTATTCCAGCCACAATGTAGCTTAAATGAAATTTTCTAATGCAATAAATGTGAATATATGTATTTAAAAAAAAAAAAGGCTTAAACACACACACTAAGGCAGGACAAAAATGCACCAGCATGTATCTTTTAAAGGACTTGTACCTAGAATAATAAAGTCCCATATAGTAGAGAAAAGTGACTCTAGTAAGTTGTACATGCTCAAGCACACTCACACACAAAGAAAGAGAGAATTAAGTAATCCTGTTTTTTTAAAAAGATTTTATTTATTATGTATAGTGTTCTGTCCGCATGTACAGCTGCACACCAGAAGGGAGCACCAGATCTCATTATAGATGGTTGTGAGCCACTATATGTTTGCTAGGAATTGAACTCAGGACCTTTGGAAGAGCAGCCAGTGAGTGCTCTTAACCTCTGAGCCATCTCTGCAGCACAGTAGTCCTAATTTTTAAAACATTAAAAAACAAAACAAAACAAAACCCTCCCTCTTGAAATTTGACAAAACTAGGTTAGCAATATGGTTTAGTGGTAAAGGCACTGGAGGTTCCCATCCCTGGAACCCACATGACGGGAGGAGAGAGCCAACTCCCATCCTCACATGTACATCATGGTGAAAACATATGTATACACTCATACATAATAAAACTTAGAATAAATTCTTTAAGAATTCGAATAATACAATTTACAAATAGACATATGAACAAAATTATCAGAGAAGATATACAGATGACAAGCTCACAAAAAGTTGCTTAACATCATTGATCATCAGAAAAATGCAAATTAAAACCTTTACTGAGACACTGATTCCAATCTATATGAATGACTGTTTTAAAAAGAAAAAGGAGTAACAAGTGTCGGTAAAGATGAAGAAATCCTAACGGTCAGCTCCTTGGGAAAAGCCTGACAGCTCCTCAAAATGCTGAAATCAGTTACTCTCTGACCAAACAAGTCCATTCCTAGGCATAGTCCAGAGCAACAGGAGCTCAATAGAACCAGCTCACTGACATCCCCAGCAGCACAAGTTACAGAAGCAGAAAGAAAGGAGCTCAAGCCCCACTCAGGGATAAGCAGACCTCAGTGCATATCTACACAGCAGGATAGTCTGCAATAGGAAAGAATAAATACTGGCATATCACATCACGGATGAACCTCAACAGCACTGTGCTAAGTGAAAGCTGCCAGTCACAAGGGCTATGTTCGTATGATTCACGTGAAATAAGTGAAACGAATAAATTTACAGTAGAAGACAAAAAGCCAATTTGTGGTTGCCAGAGGCTGAGGAGGGAGTCCATTCACACCCATAGTTTTAAACCTATAGAAATGACAATTCTGTGAATATACTAAATATGCTCAAGTGCACAAAGGCACACACGGATAAATTTTATGGCTTATGAATGGCAAAACCATTTAAAAAGAAACAAATGGCCCCAAAGACCTCATGGTGAATGTTGCTTTGGTAACAGAATCATCCTGTTTTGTGATACTAGGAAGTAGGCTTTGCACATGTGAGGCAAGGGTTCTAGCACTGAGTTACCTCCCCTGGCCAGCAGAAAACATCTCCTGAAACTGTCCTGACTTATTCAGGAAACAAGGAGACTTCATGGCTTATTTCTGGTGTCAGCATTCTGAATTCCACTTAAAACTATTTTTCCAAAGTCACAACTTTTGTTAAAATACATTGTCATATTGAATTTAAAATGTTCAGACTGGAGAGATGGCCCAGCAGTGAGGGGACCGGCTACTTTTCCCGCTACTCCCGTGGCGGGTCACAAGGATCTCTAAGCAGCCCCATGAACTCCCACCCTCCTCTGGGTGAGTGGACACACATGCAAACCCTTTCAAAGGACTATTACACCGACTGATAGCGGGCTTTTAGCAGTCCTCTAAGGAACTCTGCATCGCCTGAGGAACTTACAAGAAAGGTGGTTGGGACAGCACTCCCCAAGACTGTGACTGGACTGGTTCAAGGAAAGACCCTAGCAATAGGAAATTTGGAAAAATTCACAACAGAATAAAACCTGTGGCCAGAATTGAAAACCCACCCACATAATGAACAAAATAAAGAACTGTATTTTTTAATCTTCTATTAACTGAAAGCAATACTTTCTTATGCAAAATATGTATCTAATGGTTCTAACCATTACAATGACAAAAAGCCACATTTACACTTGGTTAGTCACAAACCAATTATTTAATAGAAGCTATAAAAAAGAGGCAGTATAACTGATAAAATAATTGGGAAGAATATTTAGCATATCTCAAAAGATTTAAAATCGGAGAACACTTTACAAAAAAATCTGTGTAGGAAATAAAACTCCTCAACTATATGTAGAAATGTAACATTACAGGGGAGCTTATAAAATACAAAGACAAGTACAAAAGGACTGTGTATTCTAAATCCAAAAACGCAATAACAACCAAATATTCAGTTTTGAAATTTACAGTTTCTGGGTATGAAGACCACATTATAAACATCTTCCAAGAGAGCAGGCCTTATCTTTCATTAACCATGTGTGGTATCGTCTTCCACAAAATCTTTGGCCATCTCTGCTGTAATCACATCAATGTGACTAACCTGAAGGACAATAAAGTTAAGTCTGTTAAATCTGAAAGGAACTTGTCAGCCAGTATTTGCACTGCACAATACTGGCCAGGATCTAATAGACACAGCCTGCTATCTGCAAAGCCTCAGAGCACTCTACAGACCATGTCATGTGCTTCTGAAACACTGCCTATCAGAAGTCTTTACAACTCTGTCTGCTGACTATGAAGGGCGTAAGCCATTCTCCAGCCTGGCACAGTGCCAACACTGTAATCCCGCACTCCAGAGGCAGAGCTGAGGGCAGCCTGGGTACACGCACTTGTTTGAGGGCTGCCGAGGGTCAAACCCCAAAGCCTTGTGATCGCTAGGCATGCACAGAGCCACCCATAGTCTCAGCTCTTTTTCTCCAAATGAAAGACAAGGTACGAGAGAGAGAAAGGTGAACGTTTCTCTAAGAAAGACACCATCATTGAAATGACAACTTTCTAACTCTTCTTTCACTAATGTAACATGAAACCAAAATAAAAAAATAATGAAAAATAAATATCAACCTATGACAAAGTAAAATTACCTTATTTCTGAACTTCACACCATAGAATTTGTCGGCTGACTCAAGCAGTTCAGGCCTAAAAGTAGTAGTAATAAACTGGGCATGTACAGCTAGTTCCATAATCATATCTGTGAAAACAAAAAGTTAATAAATTCCTTTTCTGACATCTGAAAATTTAAAAACACAACTACTTTATTCCTGCCTAAAATTCAAATTTGTCAAGCAGCCTATGCATTTTTATTGTTTCTCTGCAAATTATTCACTTGACTTTTCAAAAGTAGGACTAAAATCTTAATCCTAGTATGTCTTACAGCTATAGAATAAAACATTTGTATATGCTATAAAGAAACATCTAACCCTGTATGATGATACTGTAATTCCAGCCCTGGGAGGAGGCAAGAGAATCACAAGTTGTACAAGGTCATCATACATGACACTGTCTCAAAACGAAAAACAAGAACGCAAAACAGAAGACTTTTAGCATAGAAATGTCAGAGCTGAATATTTTCTTATATACGCAGAACCAAACGCTAGCCACTACCCTTGGAAGATCAGATTTAGCATATCTAAATAAAAAAATGAAAGTGATGATCTTATCATTTTGTGTGTTTCTGTGTGAATGTTTTGCCTGCCTGTATACATGTGTGCCATGTGTGTGCCTAGTACCCTCCCTCCAAGTCAGAAGAGAGTGTTGAATCCCCTCTTGGAATTATGGATGACCATGAGCTTGGAATCAAACCCAGATCCTCTGCAAGAGCATTCAGTGCTCTTAACTGCTGAGCATCTCCAACTCCACAAGTCCTACTACTCTTAACAGTGGGAGAAAAAAAAAAACCACAAATTTTAAAGCTTTTGTATAAAAAGTTATTTGAAGGATTTAATTAAGTGGAATAATTAGATCTATTTCTCAAAAGTAAACTCTGAAAACTGTTCAGGAAAAATATTTATTGAATAAACACTGTCTACCCAATTACTCCAGGCAACAAATGACTATAAAAGGAGGGCTAAGCCACCATTATTATCTTTAAGACATTCCTTGAGACAAGGCTCAATTCGTCCCAGGCTGTCCATGATCTTGATCCTCCTGCCTCCGCTTTCTAAGTGCTGAGAATACAGATAAGGGCCACCGTGTCCAGGTTTTGCAGTACTATCAAACCCGCGGCTCTGTGCTAGCTGGGTAAGCACTCCCTCCCCAGCCCAGCCAGCTCTGCAATGTGCCTGCACTTCAGACTCTGACAATGCTATCTTCCTGCTATTTTTAATCACATTTGTGTGTGTACAAACTACAGTGTGAGTATGGGTGTCAGAGAACAACTTGTGGAAATTAGTCTCTTCCCACTATGTGGGACTAAGGGTTTGGAATATGTTTCCCCAGCTTAGTGACATGTAACTTTACCAGCAGAGCTGTCCTGGTGGCCTCACACCTCATTTTTCTGAGACAGGCTCTCTCACTGAACCTGCCGCTCCTGGTTTTGGCTAGACTAGATGGCCTTTGAGCTCCCTGGATCTCTGGGTCTCCATGTGCTACCTGCCCAACTTTTAGATAGATGATAGCAATACACACTGGGCTTCATGTTACACGGAAGCACTGTGTTCCCATCTGACCAGCTCACAGCACATTCCTACTGAGTAGAAGTCAAAGCTATACCTGACACAGCTTTTCTGTGCTGAGCATCCAAAGCTTGGTCAATCTCATCAAAGAGGTAAAATGGAGCAGGGTCACATTTCTGAATGGCAAAAATGAGAGCAAGGGCCACCAGAGACTTCTGTCCACCTGAGAGCTGTTGCATTTCTCTCATTTCACCTTGCTTTCCTGTAAACGACACCTGAGAGAAAACAAAAAGTGTAAATATCACAAAGGGGACGGTACTCATTATCCACAAAAATTAAGTGGTCCATCAGCAATTCAGATAAAATAAAATGCAAGTCCTACTATGACCATGCTACCAGGAAAATTGAACGTGAAAGTATTTTACCCTAATTCCAACTCCTGTGAACTGGTCAACTGATGGAACACTGCTTTGTGACCCAGAGCCCCTCTCGCTTTCACCACTCCCTTCTCCTTCATCCTGGGACTGGCTGCCCTCCACATCTCCTTTCTTCATCACCAAAGTCGCTTTGCCACCAGGTACTAACTTCTGGAATACTTCACTGAAGTTCTTAGAAACCTTAAAAACAAAATGCATCAATTCAAATACAAACACTTCTCAGGTATATCTGTATTTGAAACAACTATTGAAAGCTGTGTAAAATACCTGGGTTACTGTTAGTGGCCTGTAAGCTAGTTCACAGATAGTAGATCCACCTTCAAACTAAGGAAGCGCTGAAGCTTTATGTCTATTAAAAATCAACAGAACATACCTGTTTGAAGGTTAACTGAATAGCTTCATATTTTCGAAGTTCAAGCACATTCATCAATTCCATGATTGATTTGTAGCCCCTATCCAATTCTTCTTGTCGCTTTATCAGCTTTTCTTTCTGCTCGGAGAAGTTCACAAACTGATCTAAAGCTTTTTTGTTAACATGGCTGTACTTCTTCAACTCTGTGTTACACTGCTCAAGCTTTCGAAACAACTAAAAGAGAAAAATATATATTAATATACTCAGAACTGCAGAGAATACACAAGGATACTTTAAATTTAAAATGCAGGAAGACTTACCTGCTTAAGGCTCAGTGTTTGGTACTTTTCAAAAGCTTCCTGAGGAAGGGATCCCAGCTCTCGAATTTTCTTCATGCATTCTTCTTTCTTCTTCAAGAGCATGCCTTGTCGATTCGTCATCTTCTCCAGTTCTTTAGTATCATGATTTATGGCATCCATGTGTTCTTTCTCCATATTTTTCCAGCGTTCCATACTTTTCTGAAGTTCTTTAATTCCAGCTTCAGTTTTGTCAATGGAATTATCCAAATCTACAATGGGGAAAAAACAAAATTAAGGACATTGAGACCCATTTCATAATCCGAATGTTATCCGAGTAGAGACTTTAACAGTCAGTTAATTGTTATAAAGTTTTAAGTTTTCTCAGTGTTAGAATGTTAATGTGAAAATCACAAATCACCTAATTCCAGAGAGTTTCCCTGTGGACACTACCACGGAAGAACTGGTGGAATCATCTGTAAATCCACACTGCTCCATGAGTGAGCTAAAGAGGTAACAACAGCCCTCCTTTCCAGCACGCTTTGTCGGCCCTGCTGGGCAGCACGAGGCCTGCAGAGCACGGGCTAACAGGGGCCTCTCTTCACCTTGTCTCGGCATTAGCAATGCTCTTGAGAGCCGGGACACTGCCATACAGCATGATGGCAGCACAGGCACTACACCTTTTGTTAACAGCACGTTTACCTTGACAGACATGGTGGCGCAAAGCCCTAATGCCAGCATTGGAAGGCAAAGATACACAGACCTCTGAGAGTTCAAGGGCGGCCTGACCTACATAGTTCTGGGCCAGTTAGGACTACATAGTTAAGAATTTGCTTCAAAACCAAACCAAACCAAAACGAGTCACCAGACTAGCCAGATGACTCATTTGATAAGAGTTGAATCCCACAAAATCAACATGGTGAAGGGAAAAACTATCACAAGCCCTCCCCAACTGCCCCATGCCTCAGGTAGTTTCTAGCTTTCTGGCCCTCTCCCCAGGAAATAAAATGCAGAACATAGTACTAGTTCCATAAAACTGCCAGAAACATTTTAACAAAATAAAGTTGCTTTTGTATCTCATTTTGTGGCAAACAATTTTGCAAAATAACATAAATTCAATAAAATACTGAAAACAAAATTAGACTATACATTTACCTTCTGATCTTGCCATAGTATCTTTTACTCTTTTATTAATAGCTTCAAGTTCTGATGTTGTGGCAGTAAGAACAGTACCACCTTCTGTCTCTCTCAGTTCATTAAGTTCCTACAACACAAAAGAACAAAGTTTAATAACATTAAAACTCAGAATATAAATTATGAGTGCTACGTACTAAAATATACATATTAAAAATGTAACTAGCTATTAAAGAAACATTCAAGGAAGCAAATGTGTGCTTTTATTCATGTGTATATGTATATATATTTAAGTGTAAGTAAAATAGCCATTCAAAAGGAAAAACCTAATGATATAATTACTAGAAAATCTGAGTTGTAACTACTAAGAAATTGTAACCTAATGCTGAGCATATACACATCCAGAACATATCAAGATTGTAATCTTACAGAGTAGGTGTCACTATTATGCTTATTTTACACTAAAGAAAACTGGGAACAGAAATAGTAAATGACTTGCCCAAGTCACACATTAGCTGGCAGGGCTAGAATTCCAACCTAAGGACTATACTCAGTGGGTTTTTTGTCCCTAACTGGCACTTCCAGTCAGTGCTCACTGACACAGTTTCTATAGTTCATGATCAGCAAGGAAGCTCTCAAAAATAGCATACCTGTTCCACTTGGTCCAGGCGTTTCCTGAGATTCTCATTCAGGTAGGTCTCCACTCGAGTGATAATACCTTCTAGTTTAATCCTTTCATTTAGCAGCTGTCTGTTTTCCTAAAATAAGACAAGAAAAAATTACAGATGTGTGAAAATCTGTCAAAAGATGCAATTAAGGGCCAGAAAGATGGCTCAGCAGGCAAGTCAAAGCACTTGCCACACAGCCTGATGACTTGGTTCAACCCTGAACCACACATAAAAGCAGAAGTAGAGCATCGACTCCACAAAGCTGCCCCCTGCTCTCCACTTACACACTGCGGCCCACACATGCCGCCCACAACACCACACATGCAAATCATAATATGTTTAAGAAAGAAAAGGAAATGGAGTCCTGTTGGTAGTACTCAAATAAGCTAAAGTGAAAGTCTTTCAATCCCTGGGACCCTTTTGTTTCAAGGAAACAAACAATACCTTTTTTTTCTCCCCCGTTTTTCTCGAGACAGGGTTTCTGTGTAGCTCTGGCTGTCCTGGACTCACTTTGTAGAACAGGCTTGCCTTGAACCCACAAAGATCCACTTGCCTCTGACTCACAGAATGCTGAGATTACAGGCGTGCGCCACCACATCGGGGAACCATTTAAACAATGTTTCCCTTTAAACATTTACTTATTTATTATGTAAACAGTGTTCTGCCTGTACACCAGAAGAGGGCATGAGATCTCACTGCAGATGATTATGAGCCACCATGTGGTTGCTGGGAATTGAACTCAGGCAGGACCTTTGAAAGAGCAGGTCATGCTCTTAACCTCTGAGCCATCTCTCTAGCTCCCTAGAACAAAATCTTACAAGCTATCTTCTGATCTCCAGATGCAGCCATGAAATTTAAAAAAGAAAAAAAAAAAAAAAAAAAAAGCTTGCAAGTTACTGTTTCTGTTCCTACTCATTTTTATAAGACATGCTAGCAAGGGGGCTGAAGAGATGGCACAGCAGTTAAGAATACTAACACAGGGCAGGAGAGATAGCTCAGAGGTTAAGAGTATGGCCTTAATTTTTACATGGTAGAAAAGAGATCTCCTGAGGATTGTCCTCTGATCTTCACATGTATGCATGTTTTTGGACAACACACACACACAAATGGGCAGACTAAGCTACATGTGGAGTCCATCCATTAAAAAAAAGTTATTAAAACGTTTCATGAAAATGTATTCACAAAGGTGGTTATATCAGCATTTAGGTGTGTGTATGCATATACATATAAGTGCATATAAAGAGAGCTAACATAGCATCATAGCAATTAACTCCATCCACCTGACAGGTTCTATGTCACACAGGAGACAAGTCTCTGGGTATACCCGTGTGACAGGGATTATCTCTTAGGTTATTTGAGGTAGGAAGCTGTGGGCATCCCTAGCAAAAGGCCATTAGGGCTCACAGCCAGGGGCAGCTTCCACTGACGTGACTATGGAAGTAGACGGACCAAAAGTACATTACCTGATCTTGGAAAGTCTGCCTAGAGACCAATCAACCAATGGCAGGCTCGGAGATGGTGTGGAGGAATCTGACTGGCCACCCAAAGTTATAAAACGTGCTCTCTCTTCCAGAATAAACCAGTCTGCATTTGCTTGCCTTCTGGGTGACTGCGTTCACCCGACACCCGGTGTCTGTGTAGTGACTGGCGCCTCTCACCCCTCAGCCTGGACCCTGTCCTCACCCACACCCTGGACCCTTGGCAGGAGTTAACAAGAAGACCTATTCTGAATGTGAGAGGCCTCATTCCATAGGCTGGGAATCTGAACTCCATAAAAAAAGAAAGCAAGCTAAACTCAGGCATCCATTTCCCTCTGTTTCATGTGCAGTTACAGATGCCTCAAGCTCCTGTAACCACAATGGACTATACTATGCTGTGAGCCAAATGAACCCTCCTAATGCTACCTATGTCAGTGTGTTTTATCAAGTGACCACTGCACTTACGCATTCAACAAGACAAAAGAAAACGAAGGTTTCAGGTTTCATCACTGTTAGGTGTACTTGCCTGCTGAAGTTGACGGATCTCATCATTCAGGGCATCGACTCTTTTCTGATCTTCCAGACTGAGTTGAGAAAGCAAATCAGTTCCTAGCTCTGCTTTCAGCGATTCTCTGGTAGACTCCATAGCATGCAGACTTGCCTCCAAGCTTTGTAAGCTACGTTGCTACATGAATAATTATCATTTATTAATAATATCAGTCACTTGTTACATATAATAGTAAAACACCGTGAATTAGGTACAGACTAAGTGAGATAAATAACTATGAACTCACTTATGTTTAAGTACTACAACGTGCTGATAGGCTTCTGTTAAGTTTATTAAATGCATTTTGTACTTATGATATTTATAACTTATGGTAAGTTTATTGGGATAAAACCAAACATGTACTAATTTTTTTCCCTCTTGTTGCTGCTAGGGAGTTGGATCATGGCTTCAGCATCACCCCTGCTGGTCAAGGCTCCATCACTAAGTACACCTCCATGCACTATACTAAATTTGATAGTTACAACTAGGTAGGTTACAACTATTATTGTAGTTGTACAACTATAATTGTACAACTACAATTATTATTGTAGTTGTACAACTACAACTAAATAGTTACAACTATTCAGGCAAATTCGTAAGACCAAAAATTGACAGAATGCTTTTTATTTGTTTTTGCCTTTCAAAACAGAGTTTCTCTGTGTAGCCTTGGCTATCCTGGACTTGCTTTGTAGACCAAGCTGGCCTCGAACCCACCAGCCTCTTTGCCTCTCTGAGTGTGCCACTAAACCTGGCTCACAGATGTTTTTGAGTACTATAATTAAGACATCTTTTTTGTCTTTCACTGTGTAGTCTTATTACTACTGATGTACAAAGCATGAAATCAACAATACCTGCACAACCTATGATCTACTCCACGTCTACACTAAAGCAAAGTGATAATAGAACATACTTACGGACCTTTGGCATAAAGGTCTTCTCTGACTGCTGCCTCTTCTCTTTTAGCATCTTCATCTCTGATAATATGCTATCTCTAGATGCTTTAAATTTCCTTTGTTGGGTCTCTATCTGCTGCATTTGATTCATCAACTGATCAATTTCATTATTAATCCATATACAAGGCTAAGAAAAAGTCTCTTAAGGTTGTAAATATATCACATACTCTAAGTTCTCTTCATTTTTTACAAATACAACATCATGCAGCCTCTCCTTTACCCCAAAGTAATTTCTCCATATTAATGTTGAACTAAACACTATCACTAAAAATGTTCATTCATAAGAAAAGCTTGAAGCATTTAACCAGACATTCTACTCTAAAATCTGCATACTTATTTTACTTACAATTGAATAAAACAAAAAAATATAGGAATTATTAAAGTATGTTAAGCAAAACCAAGTAACAGCATTTGTGTGTATATACTTACACATATGCACATATATACATCATTCAAAAATTTAAGACAATGAAGGCAACGCTTTGTTTGGGAGTCAGATATGAGGAATAGCCTTGTCTAATGTGAAATAATTAAACCAAATACAGATAGCTGAAAGCTGTCAACATTCTTCCTCATATGTATTTGTGTGCATGGGTGTGAGGGATAGAAGAGTAAGTGTGGTGAAAGCCAGAGACTAACATTCGTTGCCTTCTTTTACTGTTGTCCATGTTACTTTTTGAAAGAGTAATTCTTCATTGAGTCTGGAAAGCACCACTGGTCAAACTCGCTGGCCAGCAAGGTACTAGGATCTACCCATCTCCATCCTCTCCCAAGTCCTTAGGGTTACAGAAGAGCAAAACCACACCCGGCTTTTCACATGGGTGCTGGGGATCTGAACTCAGGTCTTTATGCTTGTGCTGCAATCACCCTGACCACTGAGCCAGCACAGCACCCAAGCATCCTTTTTCTTAACACTTACTCATATTCTCTGTCCTAACACCGTGCTACATTTAAGCAGTTCTCAAAATATCACACACAGATCCTTACAGGACCAAGGCTAAGGCATTTCTTTTTCTGTATGCTGTTTGCACTACAAACAGCCACACTGAAAGCACCATGGCTGTTTTTGTTGTTGTTTTGAGACAGGGTTTCTCTGTGTAGCCTTGGCTGTCCTGGACTTGCTTTGCAGACCAGGCTGGCCTCAAACTCGCAGAGATCCGCCTGCATCTGCCTTCCCGAGTGCTAGGATTACAGGCGTGTACACTATGCCACCATAGTTGTTTTAGGAAATGCATACGCAGGCTAGAGAGATGGCTCAGAGGTTGGTAACACTTGTTGCTCTTCCAAAGTTCCTGAGTTCAACTGCCAGCATCTGCATGGTGGCTCATAAGCATCTATTGTAAGATCTAGTGTACAGGTAGAATGTTGTATAAATAATAAATAAATCTTAAAAAAAAAAAAAAAAGACATGCATATGTACAAGTGTTCTGTTGGCAGCTGAACTTGCCCTTCATGTAGCACTACACTTACCTGGAAGAACTAGTTACTCAGATTTAGATAGCTGTTGTCTATATATACACATATATTCTCTCTCTATATATATATATATGCGTGTGTGTGTGTGTGTGTGTGTGTGTGCGTGTGTGTGTGTGTGTGTGTATCCTTCAAACAGCAGCCAGGTCTTGCCTTCCATGTCGTTTTTGCCCAACCTTGAGTTCTGTTGATCTTCAAGTTCTATTTGTTCAAAGCACTCACTAGCATTACCTACTTAACAGTGAAACAAAACCAGTGTTCCTTTTGAATTTTTTTCTTAGTCTCCAGAAGTTAAACAAGTTCTTGTGTTTAAATAAAAACTAGAGACATGCAATATTCCCCCACAATAGGAATGGGAAAAAAAAAAACAACACCTAACATAGAAAAGATTTTACAGTGAAGTTAAATGCAGTTCCTTCCCTACAGTATCCTCTTAAGCTCAAAACAAAAGGATATTTTCAATGTTTCTACGCAGGTTTTCATTGAGCTTTGCTTCAAGCTCACCCAGCTCCTCTTCTGCTTTCCTAACATCTTTCTGTAGCTCAAGCCGAGACTTTCTTGTGTCATAGTAGCCTCCGGTTAGAGCACCTCGATGGCTGACTTGATCACCTATGAACAAAATGTAAGAAAGTCATACTTTATAACAGTCTCTTTGCTCAATAAAACTGACATAATGAAATATTAATATAAGGGCTTTAATGTTTAAAAGGAAAAATTAACAATTCAATCTGCTCTTTAAAAAGATCTTAGTTTTTCTCTTTGTTTGACTTTTGTTGTTGTTGCGTTTGTTCATTTTGTTTTTTGGAGACAGGGTTTCTCTGCATAGCCTTTGCTGTCCATGAACTCAGAGAGATCCGCCTGCCTCTGTCCCGAGTCCTGGGATTAAAGGCACACTGTCCAACCAAAAAAAGAAAACAAAACAAAACAAAAAAAAAAAACCTTACTATTCAATATTAAAATTGGTGATCTTTAATTTGGGAAGGTTTGAGCACCAAAAAATGAGAAAATGTGGAACCACAATGAAATTTAAAAAGAATGCACAAATACTTAAACTGAGAGGAGACTACTTTGCTGAAGTAACACGTGCAAATGAGACAAGAAACACCAATTTGAAACCTTCAGTTATTAACAATAAAGGATGTTTGTTAACAATGCATGCTTAAGTAATTGTCAGAGAAGCTGATATGCATATGTAGACTTTTTAATTTACTTTTGAGCAACAGGGTCTCACCATGCAGTCCTGGCTGTCCAGGAAGTAGGTATGTCGACCATACTGGCCTGAAATTCAGAGACCCATGTGCCTCAGTCTCCTGAGTGCTGGGATAAAGGTGTGCACCACCATGATCAGCTCATGTAGTCCTAAGAATAACCTCACATATGCTACAAGGAAGTACCTTCACCTGAGAGACATGCTAATCATCAGCTCTAGCATCATGAATATTAGGACATATTATCTGATGCAATGAGAAAGAGATACCACTTACACAGTAGTCACACCAAGAATGCTAAACTGGAATCTAATGATGAGGAATAAATACGACAAATCGGAAGAATGGGACATTTTCTCAGCCAATTTCCAGAAGTGAAAGGGAGAAGGAACCAGGTATAGTGGTGCATGCCTTGAAGAGCAAAGCACTTGGGAGGAAAAGGCAGGAGGACCTATATGAATTCAGGGTCAATCCTGGTCTACACAGTGAGTTCTAGGACAGCCAGAGGTACACAGTGAAACCCTGTGTTCCACTGTCCCACCCCACACCAAGTGCCAAAAAGGGACAGAGGCAAAAGGCACTGTCCTTTAGTCGATGTTCAAAGTTTTAGGTGTAACAATGTACCGAGAATCCTTGTTATGTTCTAGAGATGAAATGCCATGTTTACAGCTTACCTTCATTTGTATGGTTTGACAACAATATGGGTATGTTACTATCAGAAATTAAACAAAATGGAAGACAATAATCCTACATTATTAAAAATTCTTTATCCTGAATTATACAGATAAATTCAACTATATCTGAGCAGGGAAAAGTTTACACTATTATCCTTAGAAGGAAATGTAGCATTATTAATGCTCATGACTTCCTTATAAAGAAAACAGCTATCTTAAAATATTATTTACATGAAGCTGCAAATTTCTGAAATTTTGGTAGTTAGTTGGGTGTAGTGTTGCACGCCTTTTAATTCTAGCACTTGGGAGGCAGAGGTGGGAAGATCTCTGACTTTGAGGCTAGCCTGGTCCACATGAGTTCTAGGTTAGCCAGGGAAACACAGCTGAGACCCTGTGGCTCTGAAAAAGGTAGTTATTAGAGCCACTACTATTATTTTAAAGAATCATATTAAAATTATTTTGGTAATTATCTCAAGAAACTGGATTCTTAGTGATCCAAGGCATTTTATTTAACACATTTTAACTTTCTGAGAAAAGGTCCACAGGCTTCATTGATCAGCAGCCAAAGGAGCATGTGGTACCAGAGACCAAATGTTTATACCTATAAGTACGGACCTATGCGCTTATTTAAACTACTTTAAAAACTGATGAAACTGATGTGAATTTTCAAATACTCTTAAAATGACTAAATCTAAATATGCTTCCAGCTCAAGTGACAGATTACACATTCTGTGTTAAATGTTTTATTAGAGTGTTCTCATGGCTGATTACTATTACAAACCTTCCAAAGTAATACAATCCATAGTGAAAGCACGAGCCAGCTGAGTTGAAACCTCCATACTCCGACAGATGAGAGTCTTTCCAAATACGTGTTTGAAAGCTTTATCAAACCTGGGGTTGTATCTTAGTTTACTGATCATGGGAATAGCATCCTGCAACAGACATTTTGTTAGAAACAATACTGTTATATAGTTGACTAAAACCTTTTGCAGAACTATTACTATCATGTCTTAATGAAATAAAAAATACAAATGCCTTATTACTGGTTTTTACACAGAAAGACATTAGAACAATCATTCTACTGAACTACCATGGAAATTCTGCTTCAGTAACCAAAGGTTTAACAGCTGGTTACTGTGAAGAACAATTCTTTTTTTTTGAAGAACAATTCTTAATCTGACCATGAAAGCTTAACTCCTAGTTCTGCTACTAGGAGATGTGTGCTTTGGAGGCCTTATTTAACTTACCTAGTTAAGACCTACTGTGTGTTCAAGTCCCTTCCTAATAACAGTCATAAAGATTAAATGCGGTAATATGCGAAAAAATGAGAGAGTAAATGTGACATAAAAAGTAAAGGTATAAAACTAGTATTTCCTCAGTGTTGTAACTACATACGACAGACATCTAAGTTAGATATTCAGAAAAACACTTGTCAGGTAATACTTATTTTCCAGGCTACGTAATGGCTCAGAGGGTAATCTGATTCCTGTGTAAGCATGAGGAGCTGAGTTCAGATCCCCACACCCATATAAAAAGTCAGGCATGGCAGCGCACACCTGTAACCCGAGCACTGCAGATGTGGAGGGCTGGGGAAGAGCTGGAGATGGTGTATCCCTGGACTTCACCTGACAAGTCAGCCTAGCCAAGGAGGACATTTTCTGGCCTCCGCTTGCACATAAACACATATCTACTCTATTTTTATTTTATTTTTCTTTCCTGAACACGGAACAGTACTTTTAAGGTATTAGAGTATACCGGGGCCAGCACCACACAGCACAAAAAAACCACTATAGTCCAGAAGCCATTTCTAAGCAGCTGCCAATGTGATTATCCACTAAAGGGGATCACTGCTCAGACTGTTCTACCTTCTAACTCTCTGGCCTGCTATCTTAATTTTAAGTCACTTTATATTGTACAACAAACCCACACTGCATCCATTCTTCTGTCTGCCTTCTGTCATGCCAGGACTGAACCCAGAGCATGTTGCACAACTGTGTTTCCAATGAGCTACATACATCTCTAGCTCTCTTGACACTATCTGTGTCTGTGTACCTGTCTGGACATGCCACAGCACGCATGCAGAGGTCAGAGGACAATTTGAAAGACTCAGTTCTCTCCTTCGATCGTGGGTTCCGGGGACTGAACCAGTGGTCACACTTGGAAGTGCACACCCTGACCCACTGAGTCATCTCCCCAGCTTTCTCCTGTGTCTTGTTTCACTCATACATCACATCTGTGAGCGTCAACTTTCCTCCCCAGAACTTCAAAGGTACAACTGATAGATTTTAGAGCAGGAAAGAGTCTCAATATTCTCTTAAATTACCAATCACTCTAATATAGGTTAGCCTTAATCCTAGAGCACCACAGTTTGCTATGACAGTCAAGATTCTGAGATTAAATACCTCAAAACAATTAAATCCACTTAAAGTGTATATACCTAGTAACAAAAATAGATACTTTTAACTTAGTTTAAACTATTTTAAAAGCATAGCCAGAAAAACCTCAGCATAGCCCTTTTATATGACAAGATTCTTGGAGAAATCCTCCCAAATTCCTAAGCCTACTGTTGTCACTGAAGATAAACACATACAATGTTCTGTTTCATGGCTTGGCTGTGAACTCTCTCCCCTCAACCCAACCCAGCACTAACTACATGCAAAGAAAGTACATTTACCTCAAAGACTAATGAATCCAATGTAAAGGACCTATGCACCATCACATACTAAGAGATGTCATAGTGAAAACAAAGTAGTGAGACTTTAACTTAGACTCACGTTGGTCTCAGGGTAGGCAGTGTCTCTCACATCTAACTTGTTCAGAGGCAGGAATGTCACCTCTCCAGGGAGGTTCATTTTATTAAACTCCATTAAAATCTTCGTGCTGACTTCATCTGAGTCAACAATGTGATAAAACAACCTACATAAAACAGATTAAGACACATCTTTACTACCAGACTATAAGGTGTCATAAGCATTTAAGGGCCACACAAGTAGCATTTTTCTATGTAATTCAATCAATTTGTCTGGAGAAAAGACTATAGAGAACATTCCAGTGAACTGGGGAGTGCTGACACGGTAAAAGTCTAGTTTCCATAATTAAAAACAGGTATCTGCACCTACTTCTTTAATCAGAAAATTATATATAGAACTAAGAGGATAATAGAAGACATGTGGTACAACTACAAAACTCTTTAGGTTATCCTCATTTCTTCTTTATCATTAAAAGAAAAATAACAAAACCCACTTAAATGGTAGGCCAAAAAAAAAAAAAAAAAAAGAATGAAAAGAAAACAAACAATCCAAGACCTTACCTGTTACCAGCAGTGACTTCCACACAAGTATAGAAGGCTGGCTCACACTCAAAATTATTCATTACGATGCCATGGTAGCCATTTTGAACATGTTGGTTTATACCTTTTCGACGAAAATGATCTAACACTTTGTTTATGCTGTCTATTCCATTTAAAATGGCCTGTAAACCGGTTAGTGAAAAATATTAGCATCACCAATGACATTACTGCTGGAAGAAACGGGCCTAGTATGCCATTCACTTAGACATAACTCTAAAACTGAATATAATATCAAGTGGGTCTATCACCACCCACTTGAATTATAATAACTACATTTCACACTATTGTGGGTTCTGACCTATGATGCTAGAGTTTAAAATGGGCTCTTTAACAACAAAGGATGATTTCATTAATAACACAGATAATGAAACAGGTATGACGGCACACACCTGTGAATCCAGCGCTCAGCGAGCTAAGCGTCCACGAAGTGGACCTTATAACACATATGAAGCAAGGCAGAAAAGTATAAAGCAGAAGAAAAAGTGCCTGCACAACCCACTATGTCATCTGAGCTTTGGTCTGACTCTGCCATCTACATACTGCTTGGCCCTTGGGCTGTGTGCACTGACTGGTGGATGACTGAGAAGATCCACCTACCTTCCCTGTCGCTGCTCTCAGAAGCTGCTGCTTCTTCTCAAGGTCTTCTCTTTTAGCAGCAAGTGCTTGCTGCTCTGCATTCTCCTCTCTCCACAAGTAACTGATCAGTAAGAATCAGATGTGAACAGATTTAGTTAAGAGTAAAATACTGAAACCAAACAAAGACTGTAAAAATCACAGCGTATCTTAGTCTACTGACTTTCTTTCACTTTGCAGTTCGTCCTTCTTATTTTTTACTTCATAATATTTTCTGTCCAGCTCTTCGACTCGAGCTTTGACTTCATTGAGATCCTGATCCAGTTTCTATAGGAAAAAAAAGTTTTTAATTAAAAAAATTAAGCCACAGTGACAGGAAGCATATATATGCACATACAAACACACACATACACACACACACACACACACACACACACACACACACACACACAATGAAATTCAAGAAATGGCATAATTTAAATATGTTCAATTTATCATATATTGGTTATACATGAAACTTAAAAAATCCAGTTTCAGAAGGATCATTATGCATAATACAGAATCAGAAAACATAAACCATGGAAATGAATGTTTACCTAATGAGGTAACTGAGTATGTGACAGGAAAGCGGAGGGAGGAACCACCAAAGAAGAGGGGAAGACAATGGGAAAGTGTTATCCAGAACAAAGGATGACATATGTATGAAAATAAAAGTTCTTACAGTCAATGGTGGTGCACACCTATTCCAGCGTTTGAGAGAATAAAGCAAGACTCCTTGAGTTTGGGGATAGCCTGGGCTACACAATGAGTTACACAAACAGCCTGAGCAACAGAGTAGGACACTGTTTCAAACAATAAACCAAATACAAAAAAAAAAAAGCAAAATGATTCTTACATTATATTGCTCCAGATTTTTCTCTTTATTTGCTTCAGTATCCTCCAAATCCTTATGTATAGCAGCAATTTGTCTTTTCTTGTCATTGATAGCCTGATCTAAAGACTTTAGTTCCTTTTTAATCCACTTGTCCCTTTCTTCTTTTGATGTAAACTGGCTTCCTCGACCCTGCTTTGCATAAAGATCAGTTCTTTCCTGGGTAGCTTGAGCCAATCTACAGACGATAGATGAAAACAAGACATAAAATTAATTGTAATCATTACAATGCTATGGAAACTATCCTTTAAAAATTACATTGAAATGGAATTAAGGGTTGATGAGATGGCTCAGGACCCATATGGTGGGAGGAGAAAACACTCTTTAAAGTTGTCCTCTGACCTCCAAACATGTGGCACGCACAGTTGCACCCCACAAAGAAATAAATAAGGGGAATGTTAAGTGCTAAATAATAAAGCTCCTTATACTACCTGTTTTTACTTTACACAACACCAAATGAACTTTGACATCATAATTACAAGTAGGAAAATATCTTCACTAAGGATTTTAGACATAAAATGTCTCCATAAAATAACAAAGAAAGTCCCTTACAAAATGATGGGCAGGAGAAAACCAATTATCTTCTGATCTCCACATCCACCGAAGTATGACCACACACAGAATAAAAATGAGTGTAGCTGGACATGACAGTTCATGCCTTTAATCCATGAACTGAGGAGGGGCAGAGGCAGATAAATCTCTGAGTTCAAGGCTAGCCAGAGCTATAATAGAGATAGAGAGAGAGAGAGAGAAAGAGAAAGAGAGAGAGAAAAGAAGGAAGGAAGGAAGGAAGGAAGGAAGGAAGGAAGGAAGGAAGGAAGGAAGG